TTATTTCAATGAAGAGGACTGTATTATATTAAGTCATTCTTCATTGACTAGTCAATGTAAATTGCTTGACATTTTAGTGAAGAATCGTCAAAGTATTATGATTCTTGTGAGCAACATGACCAATCTTTGTGCATTAAGTGCTCGTTTTACGAATGAAATGGTCTCTGAATATAGGTCTACAAGAACACGTAATAACATTGATGATGAAATGATCCTATGCAAAGATGAAGATATTCAATGGTTGGTTAATCAGTTAACACCAACCTGTGCAATAGGTAGACATCCATTTTGTGTTAATCATATTCGAATATGGATTAAATAATGACAATAATATTTCTATGTAGATTAAATGATCATTTTTTTTCTTGTTAAATAAAAATCACTCCAAATAAATAGATAATAGATCGATATCTTGAGGGTGTGGGTACTTGTTATTTATTTACACTCTTATCCTCATCCATCCTCACTTTGAAAATTTCAATGTTGATTTATTTCGCTCAATATTGAAATCAGTGAAAAATAGAATATGGGTGTGGATATAAGTTAGAGATAGCACCCACATTCTTTAGTTCATAAATTGTATTACCAATGATAATATCAAGTTCACATGTTTTACTAATAGAAGCAATGATCCAGATCTGTCAATGAACTGATTCACATTTATTTTTATATTCATAATTTGTTCATTTTCAACTTTCTAGGATGAATATGTGTTGTTTTTCAATAGATTGACAATTATTGAACAAATAACAGAAGTTCAGTCAATAAAACAAAATAATTAATTCATGTCACATGTATTCGTTTGTTTGTTGAACACTAAACTGATGATATTAACGAATTTGACTCGAAAATTCTGTTACTTTTTGAGAATATCGTAAAAATATTTTTATAAAATCATTTGAATTATTTTCTATTGTTAAATATTTAATGATTTGTTAGATAATCGTTCAATTCAGAGATTTCTTTTATTTTCTTTCATTTGTCAATATAATAGAAAAATCATTCAATTTGTCTTCACCATTTTTTTTGTTTTACTTTAATTCGGCGAATCATTTTGTTAACAACTAACGAAACTTTATGAAATATATTTTACTTAGATTTTAGAAACAAATTCAAATATTTAAATAGAACAAAAGAATTTTTATTTTATTTTTCATTTATTTCTAAAGTTTTCCTATTGATAAAAATGGTTTATTCAACAAATGAAATTTCGAACTTATTTTTTCTCTTCAATTTGAATTTTTTAATAAAATAAAATAAATTTCATCTTTTGTTTATTTTTATTCTAATGAATTATTTAATTTTTCGAATTCAATAGATTCCATTCTTATTCATTTATCTTTTTTCTTCCCTTTCTCTCAATAAATCATAAAAATAAATCTAATAAAAAAATAATTTGTTTCTATTTCGAAGTTTTTTTTTATTAATTTAAATGTTTTTCTTAATGTGAAAAACATTTGATTTGATTTTTCTATAAAATTAAATTTTTTCTAATTCAATCTTCTTTCAAGTTCTTTTAATTGCATTCATTCAACAATAATTCTATCCGTATTATTTTATGCATTTTGATTTTTTAGTTTAAAATTAAAATTAACAAATATTTATTTACTGTTTTTCTGAAAATGAAAAATAAATGTATTTATTTTATTGAAAGAAGTTTTATAAATTTATTTTTATTTATTTTCAAAAATAAGAATAAAAATTTTATCGAATTAAATTAAAAAGATTTTTAATTTATAATTTTTTCATATTTTTGGATTCGACAATTATTTCTATCAACAACATAAAGATTTTCTTCATTATCAAATGATAAACCATAGGGACAGTTCAATTGATTTGATTGATTTCCTTGACCATTCCCCCCAACAACAATTTCACCTTCTTTATCTCCTTCACACCAACGCATTACTCGATTATTTATTTCATCTACCACATAGATTTGACCCAAATGATCAACAACCACTCCATAAGGAGCAGACAGTTGTTTGAGACTACTTCCTTGACCATTTCCACTAGCAACAATAATTCCTTCTTTTGCATCTTTTTTCCATTTCATTACACGATGATTCTCACCATCCGATATATAAAGAGAATAATCTTTATCAATAAAGATATAACGAGGATTATGAAGTTGATTAAGATTATTTCCTTTACCATTACCACCTGCAACTAATACACTTTTTTTATCTCCTTGTTTCCATCGTCTTACTTCATTTTTCTCACGATCAGAAGCATAAATAAATCCATTTTTATCGATTGTCAAACCCTCACAATTAATATTTGAAATAATAATTTGTTGATTTGTTTGATTTTGATCAAAATATCGAATTACTCGTTTGTTTCTACAATCAGAAATAATCAAAGAATTGTTTTTTTTATCAAGAATTATATCTGTTGGATCATTCAATCGATTATTTTGGTTTCCTTGTCCATTTCCACCAGGAATTATTTGACCAGTATTTGCATTCAATTTCCATTTAACAATACGATGATTCCCATAATCAGCGATATAAATTGATTTATCATTATCAATAAAGATCCCACAAGGACTAAGGAGTTGATTTAATTCTCATCCTTTTCCGTTTCCTCCAGCAACAGTAATTCCAAATTGTTGAAATTTATTCTTTTTTGTTTGAATTTGTTCTAAAATAGAGGATTTTCTTTTTATTCAATTCTTTTTCATTATTTTTTAATCAAAAAAGGACGAAAATAAGAAGAAAAACTTGTATTTGATTTTGTTTTAAGAGAAATTAGTATTTCTTCTCAAAAGAATAATATTGTTTGAAAAATTAATTTAAATCGCAACTTAATTAATAGAAATAGTTTATGAAAAAGTTTTATCTTAATTTCAAAGATAATAAGACTTTTTTTTAATTTAATGCAACATACTTTGTTTTATTTGATATTGAGTTGTTATCGGATTGTTTAATATAGTCTTTGTGCTAATTGTAGAATGATTTGATTGATAAGAATCTTAATAAAAAGAAAATAGAATGATTTTATTTGACAATTATAGAAAAAATAAACAATTTAGATTATGAGAACTATTGTTTAAGTTTTTGAAATAATTTAAAATCGAACGAATGAAAATTTACTCTTTGAAAAATGAGTTAGAATCATAATTTTATGGCTAATAAGTAATTTTTCTCTTACTCGATGATGGTTTAATTTGCATTGATTGATTCGTAACTGGTTGTAAAAGAGTAATTAGAGGTTTTGTTTCTTTTAATTGAATCATATGAAGACCTGGTGCTGGTTTAAGACAAGATACTACACTAAATTGTCGAGCAGGTAGAAGAAGAATTTCTTTTTCCTTTTGATAATATGAATGACGACTAATATCTTTCCCACTATCACATTCGATAGTAAACAGTGTTCTTTGACCAGTTTTGCCTAAAAATTGTTCATTTTCAAGTATTCCCATCGATGTTGTACATGAAGAAAATCCCCACCAGACAAATGTTTTTCCTTCAGTATATTGTTCACTTAAATCTAAATTCACTCCGCGAAACACATTGCATCCTGTGGATGGTAGTTTTTCGAGTGCTGTAAGAATAAGTTTCAAATACGAGAACCATGGTTTTAATTTTCGTCTGTCTTCCGTGCGAAGAGCTGCATTAAGAGCAAAATATAAACATTTTGCATGTGGTTCCCATTCCATTGAGTAAAGCATGATTGATGCTGATTCATCTTGTGTTAAACCATCGGGAGGTACGGATTGACATCGTTGTTTCGCCACATAAGCATAATTTTGAATTCTTGGTAAAATTGAAACAAGTGGTACAACAGCTTCTTTCAATGGTACTATTGACATTTCTTCGTATCCTTCAATTGGCATGAGCATCTGTTGCGGTTCATTAACAATATCCGATACACGTGTATACTGTTGTGGGTCAATATTTCCACCTGTAGCCATGTTTATATGAAAGAATATTTTTGAGTAACAAGCACAATAAATAGTCTAGAAATGAAATAAAAATTTATTTTTAAAAGTAATACTGTTATCGTTCCTTTTTGTTCTTTACTGCTCTTCTTTCATAAAACAAGAATCATCCCTCTCTTCATAATATTCACTCCATACATACTCAACGATATCAGTAGTACGTGAGGAAATGAAAAAGATATGTCATGCCATAACACTTTCTCTACCCACCAACAGAGAAAAGAAAAATAATATAACAGAATGAAAACATCAGAAAAAAACGACTAAAATAAAGAATATATAAATTTATAATAAAAAACAAAAGTAAAATAGTAATCGTAAAAGATTTTCAAAGAAGATGAAAGTAATTCATGAAGGAGATAATTATAATAAAAAAATGTAATCACTCAATAGTGTATAGATGAGAAAGAAAGAAAAAAATATGAATAAAGTGGTACGCAATAATTGATATAGTCGGAACACCAGTAACGTGAGTGTACTATACATATAAATTTAAGCATCGTTATGATCAAAGATGGTGAGATTTTTATGTATTGATAATAACTGAATCAGAATGTGAATCATTGACATCTGTTAAATTCATATTTTAATAAGCTGTTTACCTTCCATAGCAAACAAAAATCAAATGATGGGTGTCGGTTTGGGCCACACCCACACCTTTACAAACCTTTTTTTAATATATCACATCCTTTGATGAACAAAAAAAAAAATTTTTATATAAATGAAATAAATAATCCAAAACGAACTATTTGGGTAATAGAAAATAATATACTAATTCATACTATGATTTAATAAAATCAATAAATTTAATTCTTGTATTGAACAATAAAAGGATCTAGAATTTATTATCAAGTGTAAGATATTTTAACTTATATTGATATTATTATTTTCCTTTACAAGATAGCTGTCTTATATTATATTTGATTTAAATAATTATTTATACGATTAAATTTGTAGAAGACTTAAGATCATTAAATAAAATATTAGGGATACGCAATAAATACAACAGATATTTATAAGGATGAGTTAAGGTATACACGTGTATTTTATTCAAATCATACCGACATCTACCTATTCGATTTAACAAATCATAAATATACTTTCGTTTTTGTTATTACGCATAAAATCTATATTACTCATACTTAAATACAAGAAAAATATTAATTGAAGTAGACGGATATTTCCTAACAGATATAATAATGACGGGCAACAAAAAACGATTATACGATTGTAATAAAAATAATATTACAAGTATTATATGATTTCGTTAAATTTTAAAATGTTTTTCTTAAAAACTGTTTCTCTTTTATTTTTATAATAGAATTTTATTCCTAAAACTGCTCTACAAAGATTTTATTTTTGTAAAAAAAATCCCTGTTTTTTACTTATAAAAAAATGTTTTTTTATTATGTATACATAACTTATTTTTCTGTTTACAATTACTTAATTATAAATCATTTACCATCATTATGTATACCTTATGATCACTAAAGTGTAACATCGACGAAAACAAACTATCAACAAAAAGAAAAAATAAGCGAACGGAAAAGAAAATCTATTACACGAGTCAGTTGACGAAATAGAAATATTTTATTCTATACGTATTAGTACATGAAATCGATAATTAAACATTATTAAAATTTCTTTAACTAATTGTGGTAAGTAATTTATATCGATCAGTTTACAGATAATATTAAATATTATACGTATCCAATTGTACTAATATATAAATAATTTTTTTTGTATTTAGAGAAATATCGAATTTTATTTCTGAATAAACTCTTAATAAAAAAAAACTAACCGAAATATAGATAAGGAATTATTATTTTCTAATTAGTTAAAATCAGTGAAATTATACAAGAATTCTATTATGGAAATATTAACATGACTATTTCAAGATAAAATGTGGGTGAGTATTAGTAGTTAGATCACCTCTTTCCAATGATGACACTCGCAGCTCTCCTGTCGAAAGTTATTGAAAAATACCCACCGGATTTTTATTTGAAATGAATATTTGATCATAAATAACACAGCCAATCAAAACCAAGATATTGCAATGTACAGCTGAAATAAAAATTAAATGATTATTTCAAACAACTATTTCCTTATATCTAAATTATTTTTTTAGATTTTATAATTATCTGGTGTATATTATTTTGACAATGCTCGAAGCAATGGGTATGTAAAAAGAATTATATACAAGTCCTTTTATGTATTTAATCAAACGAATTAAAAAATGTGAAAAAAAGTCTTATCATTAGTCATTCGAATATATAAAATAATTACGTTTGTTTGAATCTTGATGTACTTTTTTTCATATCAAATTGATATAAAAAGATTAGATCTAATATTTTTGACATGTCATCAGCAATCAATTCATAATAAGAAAATATCAGTATATTAAAAGTTATTAAACAGACAAACGCATCGAATGACTTTTT